AATATTAGCTATAACTCCCCAAACAAAATCTCCACCCCTCCAAAAAAATTTTCAACTCCCCCCCAATATTCGGCATAATAAAGAAATAATTAAGTAGTCCACTCCAACGTGCAGAGTGTTGATGATACAAAATAAACATAGGAGTACACTCGAACAGAAAAAGACAGTGCAACACTCTGAAACTAATTCTCCTCGCTTGCATTCACTGGTTTATTGGAGCAATTGTAAAGTTTTGAAACTCTATTATCTTCCCTGCATAGAGTTTGCAGTGCCTTGCTGTCATGCGAATAGCTTGCACGCAAGGAACGTTTGGAATTTTTACGAACACTATTTTTCATTTAATTCTTTTACTTGCCTAGATTTAATCTTTATGCCGCAAATATTATTTACATCGGAGTTGCATCATAAACTGTACTCAGATTCAAACAACACAATGTCAATGACTTTATAAAAGTAAAAGCATATTGTGTATTGGCCTATTGGGTTTACACTTTTATAGGTTCTCTCAAATCTTAACAGACAATCGGACATGCCAAATCCATTGATATGACAAATTGACAACTTCAAAAAACTTTTTTTTGAAGCTAGAAATCATGATTTTTTTCAAATTTTTCCTGGGATACTTTTCCTGGGATACTTTTCTGCTCACTAGACTCCCCCTCGCGCCTCTAGTGCTCCACCCCTGGAATATAGACCTTACTGTGGTTTGGTGACACTTTGTGTTGTATCAGTCACCTGCTCACGGCTCACCCCCCTAAAATTTCTGGCACCACCCCAGTAATAAATATGAAAATCTGTCTATGCCTATTGGTCAGGCAAAACAAGCTCACACCCCAGTAGCCGTAATATCGAAGTTTCGGCCTTGTTTGTATTATAATAATAAATATTATTACCATTTGTAAAAACCCACCAATTGATAAGGCGAATATTTACCATTATTATTAATTGAAAAATATAATTCAAGTGTTTTGATTAGCTAAGAGCTGTTGGTGAAATTATGATATCTGCTTGGATATCATAATTCTGATATTCCAATGATAACAAGATAATGAGAATTCTTCCTATATATCAGTTGCCAAGGTGCCAACCTTGGCAACTGATATATAGTTTAGCATTATAGTTCTGCATTATAGTTTTTATCATGAATGATGAGAATGGGTTTTATGTATATTATGTAATGCCAATGGACGACTTGCGCTTTAGACTAAATTTTAATCTAAGTAAGAACAACGAAATTTATCACCACAGCTGGAAAGAGCGTCTTGGAATTAGTAATATTACAAAGTTTGGTTGCGAAATGTTGTAAAATACGGAAAATATAGCCATTCAAAGTTGGCAAATTTGTATACTTTTGTATTACGTGCGTGAATTGGTAACTAAATTAGTTACCAATTTCCGCACGTAATAGAAATGTATACAAATTTTCCAACTTCGCAGGGCTATATTTTCCGTATTTTACAACATTTCGCAACCAAATTTTGCAGTTTTTCTAATTTTGATAACTTCTTTCAGAAAATATCCTTTGTTATTCCCAGATTAAAATTTTTTCTAAAGCGTAAGTCGTCCATTGCTGTACCCTGGATTCCAGAGCCTTCGACAGTAAATAATAAATTGAAATGTCGTGAAGGCTCTGGTTCAACGGGGCGATTCTTTGATTAAACCGCGCCAATCACAAAACATAATTAGTGGTTTTAGTACAGAATCTGTACTAAAACCACTAATTCTGTTTTGTGATTGGCGCGGTTTAATCAAAGAATCGCCCCGTTGAACCAGAGCCTTCGCGACATTTCAATTTATTATTTACTGTCGAAGGCTCTGGAATCCAGGGTACCATTGCTGTGAATATTGATGTGAATATTGCCAACAAAATGTTTTTTGGTGGTGTCCAACAGGGGTGCACCGGAACTCGGTTCGGCCGGGAACCCAGATTTTTCAGAGTTCCGGTTCCGGCTGGAACTAATAAAAAAAGCATGACCGGAACCGGAACTCTGTTATTTTCAGAGAGATAGAATATCAAACGTTTTTGTGTCTAACAAAAGTTCAAGGTAGGATGAAATTTGGACTACACAAAGTACATTTGACTTTTATCTTCGAGTGGTGAAAACAATATTTTACGAATGAGCGCAGCGAGTGACTGAAATATTGTTTTTAACACGAGAAGATAAAAGTCATATCTTCAAGCCACCGTGTATTGTTCTGTTTATTATATAGTCCCACGCAAAAAATTGTGAAATTTCACGCTCAAAAGCAAATTGAAAAAGTCATGTCAATTGATAGTCATGTGATTGATATCGGCCTTGCACTCAGAGTAACATCACAAACATCATATTCACCTGAGTACATAAACACCAACACAGAAAAAAATCATGATTACTAGATTTCATTGATATTGAAGGAACTAGACTCAGTTCCGAAATATCACATACTTGAATTTACCGACCTGACCGCGTAGCTCAGTTGGCAGAGCATTGGGCTAGTATTCCAAAGGTTGTAGGTTCGATTCCCACCGTGGCCAAGCATATTTTTCAAGCTTGCCCGGTGTGGATATACACTCAGTGTAATATCACAAACATCATATTCACCTGAGTACATAAAACCAACACAGAAAAAAGACTTCATTATGACGTTTAACGTTTGTCAATCTTTTTATTCTAACATTTGCAAGCTCTCTCGTTGATGACTTTGAAGTGTCTGCCTATATATGGCAAAATAAATCCGTTCTGGTTCCGGCTGGAACTCTTTTCTAGTTCCAGCCAGAGCCGGTTGCGGCTGACACTTAAAAAATTGGTTCCGGTGCACCCCTAGTGTCCAACAGTTTGTACAAGAAAAAGACATTGATGTAAATACACTGACCCTAAGTCTGAAAAGTATGTCACTTTGGCTATAGCGCCTCATTTTCATGATTGACATGTTTCGCTTTAACTTATGTTGCATACATGAAAACCAGGCTGGTTCTATGGCCAAAGTGGCATACTTTCTGGAAGGGTGTATTGTGCATTATTTTCACATCAATGTTTCCAATCATTTGCTAACTTTGAGATTCTACAGCATTCATATTCTGCAATTGCGAATTGCTTCCTAAAACTTGGTGTTTTTCACAAAACTAAACAATTGAACTAACTCTTTTTCTCTTTAGGTATAAAATCTGCACTTGCTCATGCACCTGATGATTTGGGTCATCTTGTTGTCATGGGAACACCTGCAGAAGAAGGCGGCGGTGGGAAAATACTTATGCTTGAGAAGGGCTGCTTTGACAAAGTTGATTTCAGTATGATGGTACACCCAACACCATATAATGCTATTTACAGCCAATACTTGGCTGTTCAGAATGTGTATGTGACTTTTAAAGGCAGGGCTGCACATGCTGCAGCATTTCCATGGGAAGGAGTGAATGCCTTAGATGCAGCAGTTCTGAGTTACAATGCAATCAGCATGTTACGACAGCAGATAAAACCAACATGGAGAGCTCATGGTATTTTTACTGAAGGAGGTATTGAGCCATCAATCATTCCAGAGAAGACTCAGCTGCATTATTACTTCCGTGCTCCTTCATTAAAAGAGTTGGGGGAATTTAAGACGAAAGCAGAAAACTGCTTTAGAGCTGCTGCAGAAGCCACAGGTGAGGGTATATGTATAATATATAGAAAATGTTCTTGAGTGAGATATTTCATAATTTCCAGACAGCGAGCAAGCAGAGAACTCTGCTTGCTCCGCCTGCTGCGGCTGGGTTTCAAACCTGTGACCTTCGAATTACTAGATTGATGCTCTACCAACTAAGCTATGTACACGGTCAGGACGGATTGAAGACTGGAAATTATGAACTATATACTGAATATCATAAACATACTCGTTTATATAGTACAATCTGCAGACATGCACTGGCTGCATATTAGCCAACCTCGACAGGAACAGGAAAGAGGGCTTGAAATCAAACCATGCTAACGTGACTAAACGTTGTCTAATATTTTGAATATACAATTTGATTGTCATTGGTCCACACCAAGAATTGATGTCATGTCTTATACAGACATGCAATAATGCAAATTTCTTTTGTTTGGACTTGCATATTTTCGTCCTTTGGACTCTTGCAGTTTGGATCGTCTTTGAAAAACTCACTCTTGAATGATTTTTTCCAAACAGGGTCCCCACGGTCCTTGAAAATCCTGGAAAGTCCTTGAATTTGTTCAAAAAAATACAGGCCTGGAAAGTCCATGGAAACTGATAAGGTCTTTGAAAGTCCTGGAATTTTTTTTCAGTAGGCTGGAAATAATTGAAGAATTATTACCAGCCCAAGGATTATTGCCCAAATGTTTATTTTCTCCAATTTCAATTAAAATTATGTATAACAATTGTCCAAAAGTTGTGTTGCGAAGCGGGTATTCGACGGTCAGTCGGTCACGTAATTTGATATTTGTTCACATTATGATTATGTGTAAACTAAAAAGGTGGTTACATGGTCCTTGAATATACTGAAAAAGGTCCTTGAATGTCCTGGAAAAGTCCTTGAATTTCATCACCATACACATTATGGACTTAAATAACAGGGGCCACGTCCATGTTCAAGTTGCCACGTAAAATGTGGTTAGATGGGTCAAAACTATTATTCTGCGAAGTTTTCACGAATTATACAGCAGTTGGAAAAATTAATATTTTTAAACTAAAGGCATGGCATGATCATAAGGCATGGCACAATCGACATTTTCAACGCTGGATGGATGGGTTAGAAGAAACCTCAATTTGACGTTTTGCGTGGCAGCTTGAATATGGACGTGGTCCTAAAAACACTTGACACGTCACAGATCGTTGTTGACTTAATTCTATGTACTAGGTTGTTCTGTTGACATAAAATGGTGTGGTCATGGAAAAGATCATCAACCTTATATTGATGTATTAAACAACCCAGTGCTGGGCGATCTCTATCGGAAGCATGCAGAGTCTCTTGGAATTCAATTTCTACCACGAGTTATTGAGGCAAGCCTACCAACTGCATCAACAGACATGGGCAATGTTTCCCATGTTGTACCATCCATACATCCACTCTACAGTATCACAACTAAAGCAGGAAATCACACGCATGAGTTTACCAAGGCAACAGGTGATGAAATAGCACAATCCCCCACTCTTATTGCAGCCAAATCTATGGCAATGACAGCTGTCGATATCCTCTGTAACCCGGAAATGTTGGAACAAATGAAAAACAAACATAATGAGGGAAAGTAATCGAGTGCATAATGCATATAGCATTGTATTAAAATTCTAATACCGTATTTCCTTTATATTATCCATTTTATGATTAAAACAACTGAATATCTCCTGTAATATACTTTATTTCGATTCCCTATTTTTGTCAGAGCTATAGTTCTCATAACCAAACATACTTACAAAATTTCAACTAGTTTCATAAAGAATAACGAAAGATATAATTGACTGAACACATCAAAATGGATTTCTATTCGGACAACCCTTTCTGAGCGCTGATTGGCTAAAATACGAACACGAGATCACCTGGTTATAGGCCCTGAGGGGCTGAGGGCTCTCCCAGTGGTTCTAAACTGTGTAGTAGTCAAAGTAGATTAACAATACATCAAATGCATATAATGTAGTTTTGGCTGGGTTTTTTATAGTAATAATCACTTATTAAAAACCAACCACATAAATATGTCTGAGCTTCAAACAATTGGCATATGTTTATTTTGGTTGTAGTTTTGTAATCGTAATAATTGTTTTTTATTTGCAAAATAAATAATTGTTTTTATTTGCAAAAAATTGCTTAGGCATCAACAACCTCGTACCCAGATTCTCAATATTCGCTCCTACCTCGCTTGAATTGAGACCCTGGTATCGGCTTGTCACGTGACCCGTCATATTTTGGTGGATTTGCTAAATTTTTTTTAGGGAAAGGATAGTAACTGAGATGTTTTGTTTTGTAATGTTATTTTAACAATATTAATGTTTACTACAATATCTACTTACTATACTTTCGCTAAAACAATTGAGCAAATCCGCCAAAATATGACGGGTCACGTGACCAGCCGATACCAGGGTCTCGACATAGAATAAAGATCCATATAGAAGGGCCACTTACGTCGGAGACTCGGAAGCTTTGAAGTTTCTGTCCTCGCGCATGTCGCATTACGCATGTTGGCCGCCATTTTCCTAGCCAGTCAATGACATTTTCTGGCCATTAAACACGCTTACTGGTTGGCTGCTTCGCCTTCTGGCCAGTAAACTGCATATTTTTGCATAAAAAGACGAGGACACGTTGCACCGCTGAGTGAACCTTCTGTTACTGATCTTTATTCTGTGGTCTCGATTCAAGCGAGGTAGGAGCAAAGATTGAGAACCTGGGTACGAGGTTGGATTACTCTTGAGATTACTCTTGAGAGTAATCATGACATATAATTGTTTTTGTTTGTGGAAACACCACGTAAATTTATTACTGCAAAGCTTTCGATCCGTAAGCCGGGATCTTCATCAGTGCTAATAATATGTCATATTATTAGCACTGATGAAGATCCCGGCTTACGGATCGAAAGCTTTGCAGTAATAAATTTACATGGTGTTTCCACAAACAAAAACAATTATATTTTATCGCCATGCAAACATTCAAAGAACTTAATCATGACATATATATGTAAAATTTTTGTTTTGCTCATTTGCCATAAAATTATCACATTTTTCTTAAACGGATTGGCTGTTTGAATCCTATGATTTTAATATGATTGCTCTAATATGATTGGTTGATAGTTATAGTGGTGTATGGTGGCCCATTAGGCTCATTACAAAATAACCACAACGAAGGAAATAACATGTATTATTCAAATTAAAAATTATTTAATATATTTTTTCTTCTCATTCTTAATTTCTTTATTAAAAAAAATAGTAATGCATATAATTTGAGCTGAAATTGACTGAAGTAAGACCTTGCATGTTATAATGAAGCGCAGAAGGCCTTCGTATGAGGTTGATTTGTGGCTAAAAAAGTCCGACATTGGAGATAAACCAAAGGGGCAAGGTCAAAAAAATGAATTCAAGCACGGAAATTTCGACAGAAAGTAAGCGCGCTTTCCATTTAATGGCCTCACCGGTCAGACCCGAATTCTTTTCTCTGTATCAATGGAACGATTTGGTCTGTTTCTCAAATATCTAGCGAATTTGGACCTCATTCTAATTCTACCTAAATTTTCTGGTCCGATAGGTCAGAAGCCAAAACGTTTTGTGTTCCATTCAACAATTTGACCGTTCTGACCGGTTTGGCCGTGTTAATGGAAAGTGCCCTAAGATATAAGACGATAGTTTTTATACGTATTTCGCAATAAGTCTATATTAAAATTGATAGTCGATCTGGCACCCTCGGACTAAATGTGCACTTTGGTTTTTTTCCGCCACAAATCAACCTCGTACCCAGGCCTTCTGCGCTTGTTTAACATGCAATCTACTGAAATTTATCAAAGCGTATTTTTCGCAAATACTAGGTTTTTACAAAAGTTACACAAACCTGTTGTTGCCGTCTTCAAAACAAGGCGACGTACTTTGGAGAGAAAATTGTGTACAGATTACACTAAACATCGCTTGTAACGCGAATAAGTGTACACGGCAAAGCGTGCAAATCGCTCTCACCATAGGCAGCCCAGATAATATACTGTTATCCTCAAAATAAACAGTTGTGAAATATCAAATATATTTAAAGGTGATCTACAGTCCGTATGTAAACAAAGCCTTTGTTTACATTTTTGTGTCCAAAATATTGAGCTTCATTCGACAACTATTTATATTTTCAAGCTTCTAGAGTATAATAAATTATCAAGCAACAACAATTAGGCTTTTCAAGAACTCGAAACATATTTAAACTGTTTGTATCATAAAAAGTGGGCTCATTTGTGCACATGCGCAGATCGGACTGTAGATCACCTTTAAAGTTCTTCTGACATTGCTCATGGTCTATCAAAATATGATGACTTGATGGTCTTTATGAATTTTTCCGAGTTTTATGTTAATTTGTGCTCGGTCACCGTTATTAAGCTCATTGTATTTTCGTATAAGGGACCGGTCATTATTTATGGTGGGGGGTGGCACCGAAGAGAAATGTTTTTCGTGGCAAAAATTTTGCTGACCCAACCATTAAAAAATCAAAAATTTGATTACCCAACCTCAAGTATCATTTAAAAGATAAATACCCACCCCTGGCCAAAAACGTTACAAAAGGATGTCATTCAGTTGTCACACATGACAGTCTCCCTCGCAGACGTTCTTACTAGTCCTTTACCACTTCTGTGATACGTTTGATAACATTCGGCTTCTGAATGTTTGATTGTTTGATAACGTTCGGCTTGTGAAATTTACTGACTTTTCTGCAGTCTAAAGTTTCATGTTGTCTGCACATTTACTTTCTTTGGAGACACCATTTGTCTCCCAACAAATCGGAAAATGATGAAGATATAGATTGATTCACATATTGTATTGACATATGACTGTTGACTTTGAAGTTTTCAGTCTTCAATATTTGAGTGAGTCATGCTTTGGAAATGACAATAAATTTTTATTACCCAACCTTTGAGTTGTTTCGTTTTTCATTTACCCAACCTTTTACTCACTCAAAATTTTGTTTACCCAACCCTTTTCTCTTCGGTGCCACCTCCCGCCATAAATAATGACCGGTCCCTAATGAAGTAATCATCTAATAAGGATAGCTGAAATGCAAATTGCAGCCACGATGAAGAATATTTAATGAGGTTGAGACGAAGGATTTGTGCACCGTGAGGTTCAGTTCAACATCAAACATGCAAAGGCCCTCTACTGTATTTTGTAGCTTTGAAGTTT